GGGTCAGACGACCCCAGCTAGGTGCTTGTCCAGTCTTCTCTTGAAGCCCCCCAAGGTAGGGGAGAGCACCACCTCCCTTGGAAGCCCATTCCAGATTCTGGCAACCCTTACTGTGAAGAAGTTTTTTCTAATGTCCAATCTAAATCTGCTCGTCTTCAATTTGTGGCCATTGTTCCTAGTTACTCCAGGGGGTGCCCTAGTAAATAGAGCATCTCCGATTCCCTGCTGCCTTCCTCTGATGAATTTATAGGTAGTCACAAGATCACCTCTCGGCCTTCTCTTGTGAAGGCTGAAGAGATCTAGGTCCCTCAGTCTCTCCTTGTAGGGCCTTACTTGCAGGCCTCACACCATATGAGTGGCCCTCCTCTGGACCCTCTCAAGATTCTCCGCATCCCTCTTGAAGTGCGGCACCCAAAGATGGACGCAGTACTCCAACTGTGGCCTGACCAGTGCCACATAGAGGGGGAAGCATCACCTCTCTGGACCTGTTTGTCATGTATCTGTTAATGCATGATAGCCTCGTTGATCACTTTGTCACACTGATGACTCATGTTCATCTTGGAATCAACTGTGACTCCAAGATCCCTTTCTGCTGCTGAGAAATCCTCTCAGACCATTTAGGTGTACATGCTAAAGTAGCTCATATTTTTACTTCTCCCTTGGTTTTGTTCCCTTAAGATTCCTTAAGCTTGTTAGGTTGGAGTGAAAGCTCTAGAGATTGGTGTCTATGGGTAAGAGAGTCACTTCTTGGAGAAGCAGAATGAAAAGGTCCCTTAGACAGGATTGCATCTCCCTACCAAACTCCTCAGGTGGGAGGCAGAGTTCTAGGGCAGTGCTGCCTTGGCTCTGTTGGAACCTACATTTTGATCGTTGTGGATCGTTTTGAAGTGGTGGGAGTCTCACCTCTATCACAGCTGGAAGAAAGAACTGGAACTGGTGACAGAAAGTGTTCGTTTCCCTTTCCCCAAAGGGAGGGCAAGTGCCCAAGAGGGAACCTTGTCTGTAGTCTGTCCTGCTACCTCTGTTCTGAGAGTATATTAACCCACTCAGGCACCTTGTATTCTGCTCATTTTGTGTGTATATTAGAGAGCACAAATCTCATGGAAGTGGCATTGCTGGAAAGTAACTTCCCTCTCCCACCACCTGAGGAAAGCAGAAAGAGTTGTCTTCCTGAGCTGCTTTGTAGTAGTGGCATGCTACATATAGGATGGAGCTTCAATCAGATTGATACAGACATGTGAAGCAAGCAGCTTAGCACTTGTTGCTTTAGTGGAGGACAAATTTGCTGGGAATTCAACTTGCTTAATTTAGTGCATGTGGGAAATATAATAGTCTCTTCCTTCCAACAGAACCCATCTGTGACCGAGAAAGGAGCAGAGCACAGATGGCAATGTAATCTAATTGATCCTCTAACAGATCCACCCTTAACTACATATTCCCTTATGGGCCCTTGGAAGTCTATCACAAGCACATGCCCCCCATTCAACCTCACTGTCTTTTCTCTCCACCACCTGGGATCTGGTGCTGGGGAAAAGTATTCTTTGGTGTCTGTTTTTTGGGTGTCTTCTCATCACTGGAGTATGTGTTAGGTAGGGTATAGACCACCTGTGCCCCCTTCTTGTGTATCTAAATCACTTCACCACAGGAAAGCACCCTTTTAAATTTGGCAGAGGTAACTGGTAGCTCCCACAGTGGCTGAGTTCTTTTGCCACCGCAAAAGCTGAGCTCCAGCTCTTCAGAGTGTTTGGGGTTGGGAGCTGGGAGGACCCAGATGTGCCCATGCAGGATCTTTCAAGCTTGTATTGATCCCACTGGAATGCTTCTTTGCCACATGGCCTTGGGGTGTGCTAGTAAGCAGGGGCAGTGCTCCATTTCTACAACCAATATGTTGGCTTCTCTCTGGCTGGCAGGTGCGGACCCTGGAGGCCCACATGTACCCTGAGAAGTTGAAGGTGATTGCCCAGCAAGTGCAGCTCCAGCAGCAGCAGGAACAGGTGAGGTTGCTGCACCAGGAGAAGCTGGAACGGGAGCAGCAGATCCGAACTCAAGTGAGTGTGCTGAGCCCTGCTCCCTGACTCCACCACTGCCACCCACTAGGGGATGGCATTTAGCCTTAGCTCATCTGCAGCGAGGTTCCATGTCTTGTCAGGCTCTCAGCCTTATGTTCTGTAAGGGTCCTGTGGGAGCAGCGTGGGCGCCATCCAAGAATACCTCAGAGTCTCTGTTTTCCTCAGGCTGGCTGGGGCTGAGGGCTTGGTACTGACAGTGCTCTGTGCCCAAGGAGAGGGCTGAGTGCCTAGGCATATAGACTTCTTACATCCCCAGTTGGGTTTTAAGACACTATGGCAGTCTTGGGGGGACCTTGACCCTGTGAGACTGATGTCTGCTGCCACTAAGAGGCAGTAGTTTTCTGAGCAATGACAAGCAAGGAAAGAGACCACAGTTTACAGTTTTGTCTAATCCTCTGTCCATCAGCTGGGGCTGCTCTGTGCTGCTCTCAAGTAGTGTTCAGGTCACACTGGAACTCTTGTGGGCATGTAGCCCTTCAGGGTGGCATAGGTTATTATGCTGTCAGTCTGGATAAGGACTTGGATCTTAACACAAATCTGGAGGTAAGCTGGACCATGGAGCATGATGCCCAGCTCTGCTTGGCCTCAGAGGTGTGTCCTTAGTGCATGGCTGGCTGAAACCTTCCTGCCACACCCCATTATCAGTCTGCCTCAGTGCTGCCCTAGAGAGAAGCTCTCCAGCAGAATGAAGGGAGTTCACTATCCTTTGCTGATTTAGCTCCTGGCTTTTCTGCTAAGGTTGTGATTGGTGGAAGGAGCAATGACTACTCCTTTTGGTTTCTCTAATGCAGAAATCTGACCACTTGGAACTGGACTGCGGCCCACCAGATCATCCACCCAGGACATCTGTGGGGTGGCTTACAACATGGCTGACCTGGGTTGTGGTTGCACTAGCAACCTAAAGGCTGCTCCACTCATGCCTTCAATTGTCTGGTTCCCTCAGGAATTTCTTTGCCTCACACTACTGTGAACTAGCATTCAGCCCCCCTCCCCAATTAGCAGTACACTTTGTACATTATCCATGGCCGTAACCACCTAGCCAAATATCTTGTCTAAGGGAAAATGAAGTGTCAGCTCTCCTTATGAAAGGCAAATTCACTGTTGGCCAAACTCTGCCCATTAACGTGTTTTGGCATTCAGAAGTTAAGGAAGTGCCAGAATTAAGGTTGCTGCTGAACTGCAACTTCCTCCGGCCTTGGGTGTCACTGTTCTGTTGAACTGCACGATTGTATGCGGTACGGTCTCTGCCGAGACCCTGCCTCATTGAGCTTTGGCTGGGTAGGATGTAGAGAATGGGGCACTGGTTGTTGAAATCCCCTAGCAATGGAGGAGCTGGATGCAGGACAGGGGTCAAAAATAAAACTTCCCTTAAAGACTCTCTAAAGATCATCCTTGTTGGGTTTTGGTTCCTGCTTGCTGGGCAGTGGCACTCCCAGATCCTTGAAGACTTAGTACCATAAGGGCAGTGGAAATGGAGTAGGGCATGGACAGGGCCTCCTTGGCTGTTGCCTGCCACCCTCTGCCAAATGTCTGTCCTGCCTTGCATCCATTGCCACTGGCTCCTCACCAGCCACAAAGGAGCTCACAACAGCAGGCCACTTTGTGGGTCTTCACTCTTGTCCTCCACAGACCTTGTGGTCCCAGGGATGCCTGTTAGAAGTCTCTCTGTTCGTTGGTGCCTGTCCTTCATAGCATGTGGTGCTGGGGTCCTTTGCATTGTTGGAGTGCTGGTCTTGGCACAGAAGCACAGGTGCTCTGGCTAAAAACCTGGATCATCAGCCATATGGCGCTGCTTTGCTGCCTTGGCATGCAGACATCTTTGTTCTAAGGTGCTTAAATTCACCCCTGCTGTTCCTTCACTGGCCGTAGCTTCTCACTTACTCCCAGGTGAGGGACTACTGGTGTACTGTGGACTGACCCATTGGATCAGTTTCTCTAGATATGCATTGTTGTGGCCGTGAGCTGAATGAGGCAAGGATGCATATAGACCCCACCACTTCCATTGCACTCCATTCAGGTGCAGTACACTGAGTGCACTGGGGGGTCTCGTTACCATGATCATGCATGTCTCTCTTTCTTTCTTTAATGCTACATGTTCAACCTTCACAGCCACACTGGAAGTCTTTCTCACTACTAATAGGCTGTTAAGAAGCATGCGAGTTTCCCTTGAACCTAGCTTTCTCTTAGTCCTCCATCTTGCTTCTGCCTGACAGCAGGCACAGTAAACTTATTTCTGTTGCTTCCTTTTTTTTCCTCCATGTAATGCTTAAACCTAGGTGTATAAAGTTGGTAACATTTACATATTAATAACTTGGATTCTGGAGTCAAGAGCTTCCTAAGCAAATTTGCAGCTGACATGTAACTGGGAAAGATTGCAAGCAAACTGGAGAGTTGGAGTAGAATTCAGAAGGATCTTGATAGATTGGAAAGCTGGCTTAGAAACAACAAGCTGAAGTCCCATGCTAACAAATGCAAGGGGCTACACCTGAGGAAGAATAATCAAAATACAAATACAGAACAGGAGACAACTGAGGTCTTGGTGGCTCTCAGACTCAGTAGAATTCTGGAGTGTGATGCAGCTGCAAAAAAAGTGAATGCAGTTTTGGGCTGCATCAACTGGAACGTTAGCTATAAGACGGGAGGTAATAGTGCCACTCTGCTTAGCACTGGATAGGCCTCACCTAGAGTATTGTGTGCATTATGGACTCCATGCTTTTAAAAAAGACATGGAGAAGTTAGAGAAAGTCCAAAGCAGGCAATTAAAATGATAAGGGGCTTGGAAGGAAGCCATATGAGGGGAGACTGAGGAAAAATAAGCATGTACAGCTTGCAAAAGAGGCCATAGCAGTCTTTGACTATGTGAAGGGCTTCCATAGAAGAGGAGAACAACTTTTCTCCTTCACTGCAAAGAGCAGGACACTAGCAATGGCTACAAATTGCAGCAAATTAAATTTAGACTGTATATTTGGGAAAATGTCTTCACTCTTAGAAGAGGGAAGCAGTGGGATAGACTGCCTAGGGAAGTTGTGGAATTTTCTTCATTAAAGGTTTTTCAAGATGTTTGATAAGCATTGGTTAGGAATGATTTTAGGAATAGCAGTGTCTGGAGTGCTCTTTGAAGAGCTACAATTGGATGGCCATGAGACCCATATATCCCTTGGTGATCATGAGAAGAGAACTCTGCCATCTGGAGCAGGTAAAAGTTGTAGAGGATCAGGCCCAGCAGCAGGAGAATGCAGCAGAGCTCCACAACCAGCTTGGTTATGAAACATGACTTGAGCATGAGCAAGTTTATGAAGAGAATAGGATGACAGAAAGGGGGAGTTCTGGTTCTCCAGTTAGGGTATGTGGTGCATAGAGTTGGGTTTGTGGTTGCAGTGTAGAGAGAAGGGTGTTTTGGTTCTCCCATACTGCTGGGCTCCTGCTGTGGCTGATGCGTGGAAGATGTTTTCCTTGGTACTGGATTCTTGAGGGGGATTTGGTTTTACTTCTCCAGCATTCCTGTCTGGGGCTTGCTTGAGGTTTCTGCTACAAATATAAGCCTAGAGCAGAAAAAACACCCTGGACTGCTGGAGACAACATCCAAGGTTAGTCTTACCTCGATCCTGGGTAAGCTTTTTGAGAGAATTATCCTGGCGCATGTCCACAAGGGGCCAGCAGGGGAGGTTATGCTTGGAGGCAACCAACATGGGTTCATTAGAGGCAGGTCCTGTCAGACCAACCTGGTGGCCTTCTATGACCAGGTCACACAATCCTTAGATGCAGGGGTAGCAGTGGATGTAGTCTTTCTGGACTTCAGGAAGGCCTTCGACACGGTCTCGTACCCCATTCTCATTAAAAAACTAGGGGACTGTGGCGTCGACACCTACACAGTCAAACGGGTCACTAACGGGCTGGAGGGCTGCACCCAGACAGTGGTGGTGGACAGGTCATTTCCCACCTGAAGGGATGTGGGCAGTGGGGTCCCCCAGGGCTCAGTCCTCGGACCCGCGCTGTTCAACATCTTCATCAGTGACTTGGACGAGGGGGTAAAGTGCACCCTATTCAGATTTGCTGACAACACTAAGATGTGGGAGGATGTGAGCACGCGAGAAGGGAGGAATAGGCTGCAATTGGACCTAGGCAGGTTACAGGGGTGGGCAGATGAGAACAGGATGGGTTTCAGCACTGACAAGTGCAAGGTGCTGCACCTGGGGAGGAAGAACCAGCAGCATACCTACAGGCTGGGGAACTCCCTTCTCGTCAGTGCAGAGGCAGAAAAGGATCTTGGAGTCATTATTGATGCCAAAATGAACATGGGCTGACCAGTGTGAGGACGCGGTCAGGAAGGCCAACCGTACCTTGTCATGCATCCACAGATACATCTCAAGCAGGTCCAAGGAGGTGATCCTCCCCCTCTGCGACACTGGTCAGGCCACAGTTGGAGTACGGTGTCCAGTTCTGGATGCCGCATTTCAGGAGGGATGTGGACAGCATTAAGAGGGTTCAGAGGAGGGCCACTCGCATGATCAGGGGGCAGCAGGGCAGGCCCTACGAGGAGAGGCTATGGGACCTGAACCTGTTCAGCCTCCACAAGAGAAGGCCGAGACGGGGGATCTAGTGGCCTGTTACAAATTAGTCAGAGGGGACCAGCAGGGAATGGGGGAGTCCCTGTTCCCCCGAGCGCTCCCAGGAGTGACTAGAAATAACAGTCACAAGAGACCCCCATGGCAGGGGGTCGGACTTGATGATCTGTTCAGGTCCCTCCCAACCCTACCCTACCAACTATGAAAGTTATGCTTGAGTCAAATAACTGGATGCATTTGGAACCTGACTTGTTCCTCACATGCCAATTATTAGGCATTTCTAGGTCTAATGGGTAGTTCAGAGGTGGGGAAAAAAACCCACCAGTCATTGATGAGACTCTCAAGACGTAAACTGGAGCCATCAGCTGGTTGAGGTCTGTGGCTTGTCCTGGCAGGTGTGCTCATCAGGATGCCAACTTGCTTGCCACAAGTTTGAACAGGCACTGTTTTGCCCCATGTCCCCACCCCCCAACAAACACACAAGGGATCCCAAGTGCTAGTTATGCTAGGCCATACCTTTCTTTGCTTCCTTTCATTTCCAAAGTCTGAGAAGGACTAGACAGAACATTGGTAGAGTGATCTTGGTTAGGTCATGGCAGGACTCGTTCTCTTATTGTCAGTTTTCGGATCTGGCCCAAAATGATTTATTCAGTTCTGTTCCACTCAGGTGAAGTTCTCTTATCTAACTTTGTAGCAGAGGAGTTTATCCAGACGGAGTCCTTTCACCTTACAGCATAACTTCTAGTTCCAGTCAGGAGGATTTAGGTTTATCTGAGCAAATTAAGGAAATGCTGTTGAAATCCAGAATGGCTTCCACTAGGAAAGTGCCAAATGGTACCTAGTAACTGAGGGTCAAAGCCTTGACCCTGTATCCTGTCTGGTGCTAGACACACCAGACTTCTTTCATCCATAGCTGTTCCTGGCAGCTGTAAAGGATTTTTGCAACTGCTGTACCTACCTCCTATCCCTACATGTGAGTGGAATCTTTTAAGTCCTTAGGAACTTGAGTGCTTCCACCCAGGGAAAGGCTTGCTGTGCCTTCTGTTCCTTGGAGCTGGAGCTCCAGGTTCTCCAGGTTGCCTTGGATATCTCCCTCTCTGCATCACCTCACTGAAGGTACCTGGTGATTCCAGTTATCTTGGTCAGGCGAGTCTTGGAGCTGAGGTCCCCAATAACCAGCTATTTCCTGGAACGTTCCGTAAAGGTGAGGTAGTAGCTGGGTCTCGCCCCAAACCTCTGATGCTGTTGGATTGCATCGTGGCTTTGGATTTTTGTCAGTCATCATTTCCTTGTGTCTTCTCCAATGCCCCGTTGCCGTCCTTGGAGCTGGGTGTGATGTTAGTACTCAGGGAGTGTATCATCTGGTAGCTACTACTCAGAATAAAGCTGCCTGGAAATTCAAATGGATGACTTGCAGCCTCAAAGAAGAATCTGAGCTGTGTTGCTCTGTAGGCTGCGTGAATAGTCCTGCATGTTCCTTCCTGTGACCAAACACCTCAAGGGGTGCAGCCAGATGAGCATGCACATGCCTCTTGCCCCGTCTCAAATCCCTTTGAGGCGGGGCAAGAGGCACTGCAGGAATGAACAAATGTAATCTGTGCTGCACGTTTGCAGCATGGGGAGAAAATTAGACCCCTGGATATCCAGGGGTCAAGCAAACCCAGAGGAAAAAAACGGGTCCTGAGGCAACCAGAGGCTCAGTACTCCAGAGATGCTCTGGAGAGCAAGTGGGGAGCTGGGGGAATGAATGGTGGATGGGGGTTATGAATGGGGAGCTGGCCATCGCTGTTGCTGCCGGTGGTGTCTGGGTGCTCGCCGCTCACCACCCCTACCCCCACTGCCGACAGTGTCTGCAGGAGCTCCCCGCTTACCACTGCCACCATGCTCTCACCGTTGCCAGCGCCTCTGTGCCCTGCCAGGTGCCATGGGCATGTGGCATTTATTCAGGGGACCCACCTCTCCTAAGCAGCCCCCACACCACAGTCCCCCCACACCTACCCACACAGTGACTCACATCCCCCCACCCCCCTTCCCATCCCCTGCTGCAAACCCCACATTCGCTCATCACACATCCACCATGTGATAAGGAAACCCAAAGCAAACATTAAAACATAGATATTTAGGATTTATTTTATTATGATGCTATAGACACTGATAGGCTTCCAAATTTCTTTAACATTGTAAATATAACAATAAAACTTTGCCCATCAGATCAGTCCCCCTTTCTCTCTCTCTTCTGTTCTAATTGTGGAAGAATGTGGATTTTGGGGTATTTTAAAAAGTGAATTTGGGATGCTGCCTCAGCAGCCTAGCTGACACAAAGGGCTAGTATCCCCAGATACCAATTGCCTGGGCCCCAGAGGCTCCTGAGGTCAAGTAACCCTGAGCTGCTGGCCAGGGCAGGTTTTTGTACTGCTGGGGCCAGGACAGGGCAGCTTTTTTACTGCTGGGGACAGCACAGGTGCTGGCCCCAGGCTCTATCTCCCTCTGGGGGCAAGATAACCCTGCCTGGCTCCTCCCAGATCTGCAGCAAGTGGCATAATTTGCTCCACAACAAAGTGCATGTCAGAGTAGGTGTGCTGAGGCAAAAGGCCCCAGCTCAAACCTGCACCGCTTCTATCTGAGCTGCTGCAAGCGCATGTGCTTGCATGTGTGGACGCGCCCAAGGTGGCTAAAGTAGCAAGGCTGCTGCTGCTCTGACATTTTTCTGTGATCTGTAACCTTGTAGGGGTGGTATATCAAAGCACTGTAGTCCGATAGGATCCAAAGCTGACACTGGGTTCAGGGGCAGTATTTCGGTTGCTTTTCAATAGGCAGAGGTGTTCTGTTCCTTTTCTCAAAGGTCATAGTGATCTATGCCCTCACACTGGGGAGCAGATAAATCATTGGTGTTGAGGGGAGGACAAGGGATCAGCATTGTTGCAAGTCAGGATGTAGCTCCTCTTCTCCATGTGAGGTAGTCTCTGCCTCTTCAAAGCCAGGTGCTGGTGATTTGTTGGGAACTTTCTGGAAAGCAGAAGCAGATCTGACTAGCATGATGGATTTATGGTCTGCCTCCCCATCCAGCCAGCGCTCCAGATTTGGCTCCTTCAGACTTGCTTCTTCCCCCTAGTTGAAGGAAGACCTTTTGGGAATAATTTCAGGGATGGTGATGTTGAGGTAATAGAGGCAGTTGAGTTGTTCCCACATGCGCAGGACAAGGGCTTCTACAAGCTGAGTGTAACCAAGCTACAGCTGCACTGGGCCAAGTATGTTGGTGCTGAAAAATAAGCCATTGAATGCAGATGTTGGTTTTTTGTCAGGCTAGAAGCTTTCTGAACACCCCTCATGGTGAGAGTGTTGATTCTAGAGCTTATCCATGATGCTCTGGTCTCAGCAGTTGCTGTTTAATTATATCCCTCCAGCAGAAGGGGAATAGTCAAGGATAGACCATGTTGCTGCCTCCCATGGGATCAGGTCATGGTAAGTCCTTGGCAGAGGGGCAGGCTCTGCTCAGGGAGACAGTGGCTGGGATAGTCTGACAGTAGAGCAATAAATTTTGTGTTAAACACCTTACATGGGCTGTTTAGAGATTGTGGTCTGCAATGTAATGCCTTCTGGCATTCTCATACCCTTTGTTAGTGGGCCTCAGACCCTCCTGGCCAACCCTTCTGTCTAGGGGACAAACAGGGACAGACTTCAGGCTCAGTGACTGGTGTCTCACTATGGGGCTCCCAATTCTCTTGCCTGTGGAGCGGCAGGATTCTCCTTTGTGGTTTAAGCATGTGGTGAAGGAGAGGCAGACATCTGGTCTGTAGGGCCTCGGAACAGCTGCATTTCTGCAACCACCTTCTTGTTCAGTTGCCCAGGTTGCTTGCCAGCAAACCCTGAGGGGGGTTATGTAGGTTCTTGTGTACCATCCATCTCCAGAGGCCTTAAGGAAATGAACTAATTGCTTCCCTTCAGTGTCCTCTTCCCTGGCTGGGGGCAAGGGAGCAGAAGTAAGTGACCCCCTCTTTGCCCTTTTGTCTCCAAAAGCCTGGATTTGCATCAACCTCTAATACTCCCAAAAAATAAATCTTGCCCAATTCTCAAAGACAGTGTCTGATCCAGCACTGGCGGATTGGCCTGCAGGTCTGTCTGCACTGCTTAGCTGCTCTGTTTTATTGACCCCCGTCATGTTCACATCTGTGCAGTCTTTCAGCCTTTGTATCTTGTAAGACTCCGTGTTTAATGTCAGAACACAGATCACGACCCATCATGCACATAGCAAAGCCCAGCCTTTCCTTCTCTTCCTCTGCAGGAGGGGTTGGACTGAGAGGTAGACTTGTGAGCCATCCCATGTAGGCATCCATTCTTTGGCTATGGGGTGGTGAAGTGAAACTAGAGATGCATGGGGGCAGTGTAACTGTTATCTTCTCCAGTGCCAGAATGCAGTAGTGCTGTTGGGGGATGTGACTGACTGAGTGGCTGGTGATAGACTCCAAGTGGCCCTCTGGAGTGAGCCTTCCTTCTTTTTGCTCAGCCCACCAAGAGCTCATGGTTGAGCAATTATTTGTGGGTGCAAAGAGGGATGGGTGGGGAGTTCAGAAAGGGTGAGGAAGAGAGGGCTCCAGGAAGAGTTGGAGAAAGACTTCTGTCCCTTGTCCCTGAGCCAGCTACAGAATGACAGTTTCCTGGGGATGGAGCCCCAGCATTTGCGTGGTTCCCTTTGCACTGTATCCTGGCCCCTGTAGCTATGGGAGAGTCCTCCTAGCCCACTCTTTTTATATTCTGTATCTAGCTTGTAGGCACCCTGTCACCAGTGCTGGAAAAGAGGTTACTGCAACAGTTTCAATATTTTCTCTTCCTAGCTGCTGCCAGCACATGGTCCCCCAGCACCCACCCATCATCCCACTGTGATTGTACCAGCTCCTCCTCCTTCCCATCACGTTACCGTGGTAACCATGGGTCCATCCTCTGTAATCAACACGGTCTCTACATCCAGGCAAAACCTGGACACCATTGTTCAGGTAAGGGGATATGTTTGGGGTGTGGGAGGTAGGGAGAAAGGGTGGAATGGGAGAAAACTGCAGGTACTTACTAGAGAATGGGGGAAGGTTCATCTTGAGGCATCTTTTAGTAGTAGCCCCTTAGTAGGCTGAAGCTGGGGACCCTAGGAAGGCATTGAGAGAGGTAGTTAGCTGTGTTAGCCTGAAGTTGGGCAGGGCAGGCTGCCACCTTGGAGACTAATTGGCTTTGGGAAGCATGAGCTTTTGTAAGTGACAGCCTACTTCCTCAGGTGCTGTGAATGGGCTTGCAAGAAAGAAGATGTTGGGGCTGATGTTGAGCAAACCTCCCAAAGCTGCCTGTGGTGTGGTGCATAGTGCTGAGATTGCCACATGCTCAGGAATAGGAGTAGTGTGGGCCCAGAGAGCGTCTGTCAGCAATGCCAGACCCAGAGAGAGCATCTGTCAGCATTGCCAGACCCTGGAAAAACTGCTGTTCTAGCCCGGACCATTTTGGCAACATCTCCTAGTTTCACCCTGCTCTTGGGTCAGATGTAGTGTTTCACCACCCAAGGCATTGGGAATGAAGTTGGCCCTGGGCCTGGGCTGGTGCATGCTGCAAAGCAGGATGCTGTTTGCCATTGGTGGGGACCCAGCTGGGACTAATGGGAGACTGGGCACTAGAGGAGCCTCTCTTTTTAAAGAATGTGGATGCCCAGGTGGCTCATCCCCTGGGCAGGGCTTCCCGCCTCCATTCCTTCTCACTGGGCGCATCTACATGAGACACTTTTACTGAAAAGTAGCATAGTTTATTGCACAGTAAGCATGGTGGTGGGTGGCAGGGGCCCGATGCAGGAAGTGGGAGCAAGCTTGCTGCTAGGAGCAGCAAATCTGTTCTGATGTCCATGCATATGTAGATGCCTGCCCAGGAGCATTTACTTGCGAGTAGTTTTACTAGCAAGTAATCTGATCTTGGATCAAATGTATGTGTTGACGCACCCACTGTGTTTTCCCTGTCAGGCAATCCAGCACATTGAAGGGACACAGGAGAAGCAGCTGCTGGAGGAGGAGCAGAGGCGCGCGGTCATTGTGACACCCGTCCGGGTGTGCCCGGAGCCCTCCAACTCCGACACTGCCTCTGACACAGAGGGTGATGACAGTGACGCCATGGATCAGAGCAAGGAAGATGTCTCGGGGGAGGGGGAACTGCCCTGACACCCCCCCCCAGCCAACAGCTGGGAATGGGGGCAGGGGAGGGGAATGTCAGAGGATATGCTGAAATTTTTACAAAATACAATGAAATTTGGGTCTCTTTTATGACCTTTTCCAATACTGTAAATCAGAGCGCTAGAACCAGACAAACCGAATGGTCACTCTTCAGTTCAAAGCAAATGGGGGTGAGGGTGGGGGAGGGAGGTAGGGAGGAGGGGTGCAGTGTTAATGGGTCAGCACTAAGGGGCAGTGTTAACTAGCAAAGGGCCAAAACTGGAACCCGGGATCTGAGCCCAGAGGAACTGCTGAGGATTTGGATAATGGGGCTCCTGGCTCCAGATCACCCGTTGTTTTGTAAAACTGACCCCCTACCTACAGCGAGTCTCACAAAACCAAACCAGCCTCGGTTTAATCCACCACTGGTGTGGCCAAGTGATCTCCAGCAGGGGGCTTGGCAGCATCCGTGGACCAGCCTGAGTAATTGTCTCTGTTTGTTGATAGTTTTTGTTATTTTTAAAAAAAGGAGGGAAAAAAAACAAACCTTAAAGGGACACTGTTAGCTGAAGTCACACTGCGCACAGCGCATAGTCTCCACCCCTCTTCTGAGCTCCCAGTCCAACTCGCAGGGAGCAGAGAGGAAAGTGTCAGGCTGCTCAGGCAGGATGACAGTGTGCCTGGTGGGTGTGTAGTCAGTTTTGCTACTTTTGCAACCCCTTTGCCAGTTTCCCCATGTTTGAACCCAGATGGCAATGGGAAGAGAGAGACTTTAGAAAGCCAAAGTGGGGGCTGGGGATTGTAAAAGCAGCAGAGTGGTCAGGGGTCCCAGGGGCAGGAGCGCGCCCTCACTTTGAAAAGGAAACATTGATTTTTAAATTTGGTCGTGTTCCTTTACTTTTAAAATACAAAAAATCCTGATAAATCCACAGCCATCCCAGCCCCCACAGTGGGAGCTGCCCAACCCAACAATATCTGCTTCACATTCTTTATTTTCTCTTTTGTTTCTTCCTGTAAGCACTTAATCCATTGTGTGGGGTCTGACAGGTCAGAAGAACTCTTCTGTTTTGTGATTGTGTTGCTTCCATTTTTTTTGGTTGTTTTTTTTTTTTTTTTTATTTCCCTGTCTCCCCTCCATGCCCCTCCCTGTTTGGCTGTAGGTTTAGGCCAGTGTTGTGTAGAACCTTGTCGGTATTTGGTAGGTTCCTCCCCAGCCGCAGATGTCTCTGTTTCTTTCATTTTTGTATTTTTTTTGTTTTTGTTTTTTTACGATTTTTCAGGTCTCTGTGTTCATTGAGAAGCTATTATATTTTGTTAAGAAAGTGGAAAAAAAAATGAGGCTTGTGCCTTTGTAAAGAAACAAAATAAAGTTTGTACTTTGTTTTTTAGAATTTCTGCCTGGCATCTGTCTGTGGAGTCCCATGCCAGGCAGCAGCAGGGCTATGGCCTGTGTAACTGGAGGGGGAGTGGGCTGGGATCCTGGGGCTGCTCTTGAGATGTCTGCAATATCTTTGAGTTTGTCTTCAGACCCAGGAGTGCTGGTGAGAACACCCCATCCATTTTGCTTCTGCTTGGATTTGCCAAATCCAGAAATGAGGGGATGTAGCCAGCTCTGGCCCCAAGCTAGAGCGAGAGGAGGTGTTCATACGGCCTCTGCAGCAACCCTGAGAGAGTCACCAAGAAATGGGTGCTGCCTTTCCACCATCTCCATGTTCTTGGCCAAACTGGCAGGCAGCACAGAAGTGTCCTGAGTGCAAGCTCCAGCATGCACTTGAGCTCTGTCTCGGCCTCAGTGGCACTGGGGTGAATGCTCAGGGCTGTTCCTGAGCTATTCTTGCTGCCTCATTTATGAACTTTGGCATGTGCAGAGTAGGTGCAAGGGGGAAGGGCTTGTTTTCTCAGTTCTGTTCCTGGGTTCACTCCACAGGCTGAAGAGCAGCTTTCTGGACTGCTGTAAGCGCTTGGAGTTGGCGCACACAGAGGCAGGGCGTGGGTGGCCTATAGTACAGCAGCAGGGCACTGTGTACCCCACAGGTGGTGTTGATGTGCTCTTAGACACCAGCTGTATCCCATGAGTTGGATCTGGCAACTTTACTGCATTTGCTGTCCATGCAGAACCTATTTCCATTAAACAAGAGTGTCTACCTCTGACAGTCGCCAAGAAAATCTCTGTGGTGTGAATAGGTTGTGCTGTGCCAGCTCCCTGGACCAGTAGCTGTGGGAGCTAATTCTGCAGTTCTCGCTCCATGTGGCACTTATTGCTGAAAGAAACTGATTGTGTTAGTGCATGGGATGGGGAGGATTTGAAAAATGCAAAGAGAAGGTCTGTCCCGTACTTGGTGGCAGCTGTCCCAAAAGCACCCTTTATTATACTGTATTGTACCCACTAGCTGAGTACAGCAGCCCAGCTCTGCCACAAATAGGGATTGTCTAAATTTATACCCTGGTTCATGAGCCACAATGACAAGGTTGTGGTTTTAACCCTCTGTCACCTTCTGTAGCAGGGAGTGATGGAGACATGAGGCTGGACACTGCTCAGTAGATGAACCAAAGCTTGCTTTGGGGGGGTCCATCAGACTGCATGTGGAATGCTGGTAACATACTCTTTGAGCTGATGCTGGTGTCCACACGGTGCTTGGAGGGCAACCCAGTTGCCCTCCGGGTCACGGCTAAGAAAACTGCCAGTTCCTGTGGCTTTGGTCTTCACGTTCAGCCTCTCAAAAATAAGGGCCCAAAGTGAACCTCTGGGCTTGCAGGCACTCGGATCTCTAGTAGCACTTGCTCATGGCAACTCAGCAGCCATACTTATGAATTTCAAGCTCCCTCATGAGCACCAAAGCTACTCAATCTGTCTGAGCCATTGTGTGCTAGTGACGTATGGACTAAGCCCAGGACTGCAATTGTTCTGCACACCCCTACGCACATCCTGCTGCTCCACTCTCCCAAGTGCCATCTTTGTTCCTGGATCCTGTGGGATGTCAAATAAGCAGTATCTTGAATTGCCCAGAAAGGGGGCCCTTGTAGATGGCAGTTACAGGTTACTTACTCTAATTGTTGTTCAGTAAAAAAACAACCTTCCTTCTAGGACTTTGTCTTGCTCCTGTCACCATAGGCTTTTCCACATGCAGTAGTTGCAATAGCACAACCCCTGGGCTGCTTCCCTTCCTGAGCTAGGGATAGTCTCTGTGGAAGAAATCATCCCATGGATAGCATGGGGTTGGGGGAGGAGAAGAGCGTGGATGATGCCATGAATATTCCTTTAGTTACAGTGTAAGAGGCCAATCAATGGGGAAGCTTTGTACTATTTTCTGAAGGGAATTGGAGCCCACATTCATCTCATCATCTTCAGAAGTCCAGTTAGCCTGGCCAGCCTTAGAAAGGCTCAAATGCTGCCTTGACAGGTTTTTTGAGCTGCATTAACTCAGTTTGCACATCTGTTTCCATGATACTTTGGTTGGTTAAAAGCCCAGCAGTGGGATATGGCAGAAATCTCAGGCCTTTACCATAGACATTGAGGCAGTAGAAATGAGCCCCATGAAAGTAGTGGTTTAGGTTTCTGTTATGGTACTGAAAATGAGTGCTATTAGGGCAATGGGTGTCCTCCATCCACTGATGGCAAAATCTACTGCTGGCAAAGCTCAATGAAAGTAATAATCCTGACAAAGACGCTGGGCAGCTCCACTGCAGGCAGCCACTGCTGAACTCGTTTCCCTAAGTGCCTTCTTCCCTCCAGGCAGACAAGGTCTTTGGGTGCCAACTATTTAACCTTGCAAAAAGCCTTGTCTGCCTATGTCCTGAAACCAGGGGTGGGCAAAATGCGGCTCAGGGGCCGGATGTGGCCCGCCAGGCCATTCTATCTGGCCCGCAGGGCCCCTAAAAAATTTAGAAAATATTTATCTGCCCTGGCTGCCTGTCATGTGACCCTCTGTGGCTTGCCAAAACTCAGTAAGTGGCCCTCTGCCCAAAATAATTGCTTGCCCCTGCCTTAAACCAACATGGCTACAACCTACATCCCTTCTTCCCTCCAGGCCTCATGAGAACATGGTACTGTGAACCCTACAGGCAAACTCCTGGGTAGGAACAGAGAATCCATCTTCCAAAAGCCTGTTCAGGGCAGGGTTTACGAACAAGGAATATGCACAGACAATGGGAACAGACTCCGATCCCTGAACAGGAACGATCAGCAGCACCAAGAGCAGGGTCTGGGGGTGTATAAGGCTGCTGGGTTCCTTTCCTTAGCTGACTGTGCAGACTAATAGAATTAACATCAGAGGAGGAGGCTGCTGGGTTGCCACCTTTTGCATTACCAGGTGTACTCATATCCTAGTCCCTAGACTCAGCTTTAGCCAACTAAGCTAAATCAGGTCTCTGCTGTGTGGCTGTGGAGAAAAAAAATCTTGAAAATGTCCCCAGAAGGCCCAGGCAGCAGGTGAAACCCTCTGATTTCATGTCATCATAACCTGGATCTTGAGTTGGTCTCAAGCTCTGGTGGGATGAGATATACTGTGCTTGAACTTTTGGGGGTTGGCAACACTAAAGCTCCATCAGCTGTTTGCATTAGAGTAATTTCTGCAGGAAAGCCTTGTGGTAATGTCCTTCTCTTGCTGCAGCTGCCTGAGTTACTGGGTAGGCTGGGGTCCTCTGTGCAGTCAGCATGTAGAGAGAGAGTGGCTTGGGCTTAGGTGTTGATGGTTTTGGCCACTAGGTGGTGGCATTGCTCCACTCATTCCTCTGAACGCTGGTCCTAGACTGAGCTGATGTCTCCACCAGGGCATCTTGCACACTCAAAAAATGCTGGAAATTACTGGGAGCAAATTGGCCTCAGCGAGCCCATATCTAATGTGGGGAGGTGGAAAAACTGTCAGCGCAGCCTCAAGGAGGTGAGGGATAGGCTAGAAAGGGCTCATGCTTGCTGAGTTCTTGACATCCAGTCCTAGGCTAACCATCAGTCAGCCATAGGAGAGAGTTATGTTTCTCAGGAAGGACTAATTTGTTGAAGGGGTCCCTTGGGCTTCTAAGGATGGAAAATTAGAGAGAGTGCAGTGTCCTGCTGGATAGCTGCTTGTCCCAGCATTCCTCTGAGGCCTGCAGAGGCCAGTTCCCTGTTCAGAGCTGGTTGCTTTGAGGGGCCCACAAGGAGATGCTCACGGAGCACTGGTCTCCACAGTGTGGTCTTGTTTGCTTCTAAGGGCAGAAGGGGTAGGATCACCACTAAACCCCTCTCCCTTTCTCTCTCTCTCTCTCTCTCTCTAGCTTCCCCTTGCCCCCTTCTGGTCCTGTGTGGCCTTAAGTAGCCCAGGGTCATGCCAGCAGCACAGGGCTGTGCCTTGTTGGAGAGCAGATCATGCAGTTTGTGACTTTACTGGGGATGTGTGGTCCCTGTGAGGATGACAGGTGTACTCATCTACCACGGCTATGTTTCTAATTGTGGGTGTCTGCTGTCCTGAGCTGCTGCCTGGCACATGTTGGAGGGTAAATGGGAGAGGCCAGATGGGCCTGCTCTCTGAATCTCATTGGGAGTCATGCTTGGTGGCAGCACAGAGGGGCACTGAAGGGAAAAAAACCCTAACTAAAGCTTTGTCTGCCCTGCATCCCAGTTCCTGACCTCCCACCCCTTTCAGCCAGGTGTGTATCATGACTAAGTCAGAGCAAGAGCAGGGCCTCTGTGCCCTGCCCATGCTCACACACACCGAGCCAGCGTTCTCCACCCTGCTTGGCTGACCCACCTCCATGCCCCCTTGTTAATTGTCTCCTGGCTCCCACTCCTCCAGCTGATCCTTCCCCTATGGCTCTGTGCTCTTTTTTTCCTCAGCTTTGTTCTTTTCTTCCCTTTGACTCACTTTGCTCATTTCTCTCCTCCTCACTCTGCTCCTCCTGGCTTGGCTCTCAGCCCCCTTCCTCTTTTCCTACACATTTCTCCTCCTACTCATTGCTAATGTCACCCACACACCTCTGTGGGTCTGCTTGCTGGGGATTGTCTTGAGGAGCCTGGACAACGGAGGCTGGGGGCTGAGGATGGTATGAAAGTGCTGGGGCCCGCAGGCATAATGCCTGGCAGGGCCTGTCTCAGAAATGTCTATATTGGTCACAGAGCTGAGGACAGAGGTAGTGTCATTGGCAGCTGCGACAGGAAGGGCCTCTCTAGCTGGTGGAGGAGATGCTGTTCTGTGGCCTGCAGCACAGGGAGATTTGACTCCTCATGGTTTTGAGAACAGGGGGGTCTGTTCATCCTGAGCATCTTGTCACCAAAGTTTCCTGTGAGGCAGAGGAGCAACATTAGAAACAGTTTACAGATGGGGTAACTGAGGCACAGGATGCTGTGTTGACAGCCAGGCAGCACCAGAAAACTAACCCAGGACTCCTGGCACCTCATCCTGTGCCAGAGCCCCTGGAGATTTCCCATGCCAGTCATGTTGTACTTTCACTGTGCTGCCAATGGCAACGGCTGTGTTTGAATTAAAGCTCTCCCACCCAGGTGCACCTATCCTCCACTCAGCACTGCAGCACAGTCACGATCCTGGGCTAATGATGGCTTGCAGGGCCCCTGTGGGAAGAAGCTGGTATCACGCACATCCAGTGGGTGAGGGGGAGGAGGAGAAAGCCCATAGCTTCCAGGCAGAGCTGGGAAACAGGTTGTCAGGCTAGACAAACTGTGTGGAAACAACATAATGGGGCTTTGAACAGGCAAGCTGAAGGCCCTGCCAAGGACTTCCGTGAAGCAGGATCCTGCTTCTCAACACTC